CATTTGTTTGTGTTTTTTCTTCCAAGCTGTTATTTTTTATTGATATTATAATTTTAAATGTTTGTTCAAAATTCATATGATTTTTTAAAATTTTATAAATTCATATTGTCATTTCAAATCTTATAAATTCTATTAAAATCTCATGAAATTTAATTGTAAAAAAAGTCATTTAAAAAAGTTTTTTTAAAATCTTTTCAATTCCAAATAATATTTTAAAATCTATAAAAAATTTCATGGCAAAAAAATTAATTGATTACTTTTTTTAAAAAAAATTACGAATAAGTAGTTGTTTTGCAAAATATTACGAATCTATAGCACCCAAACACGACCACATGGGACGTGTTCTCATGGAGAGAGACACGCCCATGTGGGGCGTGAGCTACTGAAGGGGACACGCCCAATGTAGGGCGTGAGTGGCAGGAGAGAGACACGTCTCTTATGGGACGTGAGCTGTGATGGTAGACACGCCCAACATAGGCGTGTTCCACTGGAAGGTCACGCCCAATCTGGGCGTGAGTGACTAAACTGCAGTCTATTTAAACACCTACCCCCTACACACTCTTCACAACTCTCTCATTGTTATGCTTAAACTCTATGATAGTTTGCACTTGTTTACTCATATTGTTTTATCTTTTTAAATTTTGATTTTAAAAATGAGTGCGAATTCTGATACTATTCGTGTTTGTTTTATATTTTAACGGTAGGAAAGAAGAAGGTCGTCGTGGTGTTATTTTTGTAGGGGAGAAAAGGTCATCACGTATTAAACGGAACTCAACGGTTGCTGAGCTACATCAGAAAATACGTCAAAAATTATGTCTTTAAGACAACCAATTGATCACTTTAGTCACGACAAGTTATGGCAATGTGAACAATACATTAGCTTGCAAGTGGTCGATGACGAAGACATCGATATGGTAATGGAAGAGTTCTTGAACCAGTCCAGAAAGGATTTCTTAGAGTTGTATGTGGATACTACCACCGCGGAGGAAGTTGTTATACCAATGAGGTCAGTTAGGTCTACTTCTCCTCTTAATGCATCCTCATCTGCTGCTCTTGCTGTTAACATGTCTGAGGAAGATGAACATGACCCTACTTGGGTTATGGATGATGAGTATGACGAAGATGATGAGGAAAATATTGCAATGGAGGATCGTCTTCTTGCAGAGGATGCGAGTGCATCGGACAATGACGAAGAATGTGGTAGGTCTGGTACTGAACTTCAACCATGGCATGATTTGGGGGAGTCTCGTATCGTTGTACATCATGACACAACATCGAGTCAAGTACCAGAACATCCTGAAGGTATGCTATCAATTAATATACTGACAGTTTGGTTGTTGCAATTTTTGATTAAGAAAATAATTCAATTCTATTATTATTATTACGTAGTACATGTAGGCGATGCACTTGTTGATCCTTTTTGGTCAGAAATTCCACATTACACATATATTGATTGGGATTATCCGAGTGAGGCACAATCATGGACACAAAGTTCGGGTTCAATCCAGGGTTCATGGCAATTGGGAGAAAAATTGTTTGTTAACCAACACTTTACATCCAAAAAGAGGCTCAGATGGCAATCAAGCGCTACATCATGAAGGAGCATCAAGAAGCAATTGTGGTTGAGAGCACTCCCACAAAATTAAGCATGAAATGTTGTGCACACGTCCAAGGTTGCTCGTGGAGGATCAGGGTAATTAAACCAACGTATGGTGAAAATTGGAAGGTAACGAAATGGGGTGGGAATCACAATTGCTTGAATGACCATCTTTCTCAAGATCATCGACAACTTGATTCTGACGTTATTGCAGCACTTGTAGTAGGTACGTAATTTCAAATTAAAATGCTGATTAAAATTGCAGTTGATATACATGTTGTTCTGTTAATGTTTATATCCAGCTCTTGTAATTCAGAGATGATAAAAAAGGAACCTTCAGTGGCCATTGTGCTCGTTCAGGAGAGGATAACTCATTTATATGGATTCAAAGTTTCATATAGAAAGGCATGGTATGCGAAGCAGAAAGCCATGGCAATGTTATATGGTGATTGGGAGGAATCCTATGCATTTTTACCCAGCTGGTGTGAATATATGCTTCGTTTTTCACCAGGTTCCTTTTACAATATTCAAACAAAGGATTGTTTTGTTGCGGGGCTGTTGGTTCCCGAAAAACGTGTATTTGTTCGTTGTTTATGGACTTTCAGACAATGTTGTGAGACATTTAAATCTTGCAAACCAATGATACAAATTGATGGTACTCATCTATACGAAAAATATAAGGGAAAGTTGTTGATTGCCACAGCTCAAGATGGTAATAATGAATGTGTGCCACTTGCATTTGCCGTTGTTGAGGGTGAGACATTGCAGGCTTGGTCATACTTCCTTGCCAATCTTCGTCAGCACGTCACACAAGCGCATAATATATGTCTAATTTCAGACCGGCATGTTAGCATATTATCGGCTGTTGAAAAGAATCCCCTATGGCAGCCACCCCATGCACTTCATGTGTTTTGCCTGCGACATGTTGCAAGCAATTTTAATCAACGATTTAGAAATGACAAATTGAAGGCTAACTTGATGAATATAGGTATGTTGCACACTATGATTGGTGAATTAAAATGTTGTAGTTTTTTGTTAAGCGTCAACTGTGTGTTTTTTAAATTGTTCGCAGGATATACTCCTTGTATGGTGGATTTTGAGAGGTCGCTAGCACGATTTTGTGACACAAGCAGGCAGGTAGCAGAATGGATTGATGCCATCCCTAAGGAAAAGTGGTCGCGTGCACATGACCTTTATAGACGAAGATTTGGGCATATGACAACAAACTTGGCAGAATCCATAAACAGGGTGTTAAAGGGAGCAAGAAACATGCCCATTACTGGTCTGGTAAAATTTACATACAGTAGATTGGTCCAATATTGCGTGGAAAGAGGTCAATCGGCTTGTAGACAACTTGAATCTGGTCATACTTATTGCAAAAATGTGATTGAATAATTGACAGATAATGAATCCGTGGCAACAATGCATACTGTGCGTACATATAATGTTGATGAAACTGTTTTTGAGGTGGATGCAGGGTTTGAAAGGACATATGTTGTCAACCTTACTGCTCGTACATGCCAATGTGGACAATTTAAAGCATTTAAATATCCTTGTAGTCACGCCGTTGCTGCAGCGTTATCCATTCGTCGGAATTATCGACAATATATAGATGATGTTTTCAAGACGTCAAACTTGGTAAAGGCGTATTCATTTCCATGGGAACCAATCGGCAATGAGCAAGCAATTCCACCCAATGCAGGTCCTGTGGTAATACCGGATAAAAATATGTTGCGGGCAAAAAGTCGTCCAAAGTCTACAAGAATATGGAACGAGATGGATGAGGTTGAAACTATTACATCACACAAGTTATGTGGTCTTTGTAAGCAACACAGGCACAATCGTAGGTCGTGTCCTAACCGTGGAAATAATGCATGATATGACTTGTGGGTGTTTGTCACTTATGAACAATTATTTTGCCAATTAAAATGTATCGCTCTGTTTTTTTAAAATTAGCTTTTATGGTGATTGTGTGGTTTGCTTTCATATAACATATAACATCGCATACATAAAAATTATTTGTTTACTCCTTGCATGCTAATAGAAAGGTCTGGCACCACTCCGTTACGTCTTCCATATTCCACTCCTGGTACTCTGTACTACAGGAAGGATCCTGAGAGACCGGTACCCCACCAGATGCGCATGCCATGGGGCTAGCCTGATAAACCTGCTCACTTTGTGTAAACCCCTGGCCATACGATGCACCTGCCTGGCTCTCATAATACTGCGGCGGAGGAGGACCATGGTACATAGGCTGTGGCCCGCCTGCTTGGCTCAGCACTGGCGGTCTAAACCAACCCTGCATATCAGTGCGCGGTCTAGGAGCAATAATAGGATCGGGTATCGCTCGAACCGATTCCCTCTGTCGTCCTAGTCCACGTCCCTTCTGCCTGCCACTAGGCACCTCAATGGTCAACATCAGATCCTCAACAGTCTGCGTAGGTGGAGCCTCTGGCCCTGGCTCCTCTACTCATGCCGACTCTCTGAATATGGCAATAATGCGACCAATCTCGTCATGGACCCACTCTAAGCTAAAGGCGGGGAACTGATCCACAAGAGTCGCAAAATATAGCATCTCCAACCCATCAATCTATAAAGAAATGAAACAACATGTGTTAATTAAAAATGTATAAACACATAATCATATTCAAAATTGAAGTGTCAAAACTTACTGCTCGTCCAACCCTGGCAGCTTTCCTGGCGACGAACCGTTTCCCTCGCTGCCTGTACCAGTGTAGGTACTCATGGTTCGGGGACATCAACTTGACCAGTACAGGGGGAATACGTATAAACGTATCCCTGATCGTCCATCGATGTATGAAGGGCTTCATCTTACGCTCCCAATTATCATCCTTCTTCCCTCGCAGAGTTAGATTATGAACACCCTTAAGCTTTCTTGGTCTCCGCGGTATGGGCTGATCAAAACCAAATTGTCGCATACATCTATCCGGTTGAGCGTACTCAACTGTGTGGAAGCAAATGATAGGAGTAATGGCCAACCATAAGTACCACTCATGATCAGATACAAACAATGTTGTATGGTACTCTCCGTATGGCTGCCACACAACCTACACATAAAAAAATTAGTAACAAGTACACAATTACCACCAATTATAATATGTAAATAAATTAAAAACAATTTAAATAGATATCTCAAACCTCGTCTCTATAAAGCGTGTCAAAGTTAGCCCGATACCAAGACTGCTCATGTGGCTTAAAGGGAGGTAGGGAATTAAACCTGTAATAGAATGTGTAACAAATTATCATACTCATACGACAAATGAACATGTAATAAATTAGTCAATATGAGTTAATAAAATATACATGTGACCAAAATGCCACTCCGGGTGGGTAGGCTGCGGGATAGGTGGTGCAATAGGGGGAATCTAATCCAAGCCCATATCTGCAGTAATACGTGACAACCACCCATATTAACAGTCCGCGGGTTTGTTGACACACATAAATGTCTAAAGAGATGGGCGAGAACCGCAGAATCCCAACTGTATCCGCCAATGTCCGTAAATTCCCCTGCAAGCAGTGGAACGTAACGACAAGCAATTTTGCTGCCACCTGATCTGTCACACACTAACCATGAGCCTAATAGTCGCAAAATGTGTGCCTTTGTGTAACGCCTCATCTCCTCAGGATTGTGTGCTACTGTAAACCAATCAGCATATATCCTGTCTAAGTAAGAAATACGTAGATCGCCTCCGTGAATGTCTGTGCCCGCAACAGGGGTAGTCCCAAAAACCTGCTGACATATAGCAATCCAATCCAACGTTGTAGATCCGGTAACTGCCTGCCCGTCAGTAGGCAAACCAAGTATACCAGCCACGTCCTGTAATGTAACAGTCATCTCTCTCTGCGTCATGTGAAACGTATGTGTCTCCGGTCTCCAACGCTCAACCAAAGCAGAGATCAAAGGGGTATCGATCTGAAGGAAAAACAACAATTATACAAAGTCCACATACGGTAATTTAATTAAGTAATTTAAAAATTACATACCTGAATATGACTCATACGTGCCACGTGTATGAACCCAGCCTGTGTCAAATAGTCAGCGACAACGTCTGGTATATCATCATGACGGGGTCCCCCCTGAAGTTTCCCTCGCCTCGTCTTTAACCCCCTGACCTTATCCTCGTTCCACACAACATGTGAAACGTGACTGCGCTGTGTCCTTTTACGGAGTACCTCCCACCTATATGGGCCAGGAAGTACATGCGTACAAGGATCAAATGGCTCAAGATCACCATCGGATCCAGAGCGCGAGGACTCTGATGAAGACGAATGGGCCATAATAGAATACTACTACAAATGAAAAAGATGTACCCAAATTACTATTGATATTATATTAATTTACACTAAATAAAATTTAATTGCACTTAATTAAATAGCATTTAACTAACTTCAATTGTTATATTAATTTCAATTAAATTAACATCATTGACAATTAATTTATTTAACATTACATTATTCTAAAAATATATTTCAATACATTAAATAATTCAAATTTAATTTAAATTAATATTGCATACGGTATTCTTTTTTTACAAACCCTAATTATAATGTGGTTAATTGAAAGGTCAATATGTTTACAAGTGTCATTCATAAAAAAATATTTATTGTCACAAACTAATTTCTAAGTGTGTAAATAAGTCATAAAACCAACATATACCAATTTAGAAGTAACTAATTAATTTTTAAGTCCATATCTAATACGTAAGTCACATCACAATTCTCTTAAATAGGTCACTAATATTTTTCTAACCCCCTAACAATTAAATAAATTCACAAATATTTTTCTAACCCTCTAACAATTATCTAAGTCAATAATAACTATCATATATTAATTGCTGTTAATAAAAAAAATAAACAATAAATAGGGACTTACATGAGAGAGAGACAGAGCTTCGCTGCGCAAAACCCTCCAAAAGAAATGTAGAGAGGAAGAGGAGGTTTAGAGAGAGGATGAGAGGGTGGAAACGAGGTAAAAAAAATGAAAAACCCATGTATATAGACCACGGAGAACACGCCCATCAGGGGCGTGTCTCTCTCCGGCCACACACGCCCTACGTTGGACGTGTCCCTTTCAGTAGCTCATGTCCCACATGGGCGTGTCTTTCTCTATGAGAACACGCCCCATGTGGGCTAGTCTGGGTGCTATAGATTCGTAATATTTTACAAAACGACTACTTATTCATAATTTTTTACTAAAAAATAATAAATTATTTTTTTTGCCAAATTTTCATATCAAAAGGACATTTTAAAATCTTAATCCAATATACCTTCTAAAATTATTTATATCCCTTATTGGTTCTAGAATTTACGTGTGCGAATCCACACAACACCTGTGAGCAATTCTGCGTTTGCATTTCTTTGCACAGAGAGAGTCTTGTTCGCGTTCTTTCAAAATACAGAATCAAAGAACATCACAACTCTAATTCCTAGCTCCTGCAATCAGCGATGCAGCAAGGAGATTACAGCTCCGCTCCATATTACCAATTCCCTCATCTCCAGAACCCTATTCCCAACCCTAACCCTAACCCTACTGATCCAGTCCCCAACCCTTACGCTTCTGCACCTCCCTTCGCTTCCAATTACGCTCCTCCTTCCGATTACACGACATTCCCCTCCACCTATCCTCCGTACCCGCAAAATCCGGATCCTATTCCACCCACTGCTCCTTCTTACCCTCCATCTTCCAACCCTAATTTGCCTTCATTCAATTCTTCCTTCGAATCTAATCCTTCGTACCAACCACCGTCGCAACCCTATTACCCGCAGTATGATCAGCATCAAACGGCTCCAAATTATGCCTCTCCCCCCTCCTCAATTCCTCCAAACCCTAATTCAAATTCATCATACTCGTCTTTATATAACTCGGTTCCGTACAGCCACACCGGGTCTTCCGTTCCTCAAATTCCTACATACGAAAGCCCCTACGAGAATCCGGTGAAACCCGATCACGGTAGTGCTTATTTTGATGACAGGTATGGAAGTTTTAATCGGAGCCGTTCCGATTTGGGACCTGATTTGTATGGGAAGCGCCCCGATAGCGGTGTTTCGAGGTATGAACCTGTTCATGATGAAGGTCACGGAGATGGGGTGTATGCTTATGATGGGGGGAAAACGGAACCTTATGGGGCGCGTGGTACGGCTCCTAAATCGTCGTCTTGGTCGTCGTCTTTTGATGATTATGGGAGGTCGATCAGTTTTCCCTCTCAGAAAGAATCGTCTGTGGCAAGTAAGATTGTGAAAGCAGTTCCAAAGGCTGATGCCCAAGAAGATGTGAAAAGTGGGGTGCAAAAATTCCGGGTCAAGCTATTGGCAGAAAGTGGTGGTCAGAGCACTATGGATGTTCTCTGTCAGGTATGAAGAGGATGGCAACTAGAGCCATTTGTTGTGGTTTTGTATTTTAGTCTGCTAGTTTCGGCTTCAATTCATCTTGTCTGTTGGATCACGATAATTCAGTGATTGGATTTTGTTCCGTTTACTCTGCTATTGTAATAATTACAGTCAAGCTACTGTATGATTATCGTGTGGCTGGCTGTGCTTCTTTTGTTTATAAGTAGGTTAATGATGGATCTGGTTTATGATCTTGAGCCTTAATAGTAGTAATTTCAGTGTAGACGGGTTTGCTGACATATAGAACTTGTAATAATTATATTCAGCCTGATGGATTACTTTCCTTTTCCTTTAAACATGATACATATGCATGTTAGTGTAAACAAACAAAGGTTTGTCATGCCTATGTTCATTTATTACTCTTCTTCTTCTTCTTTTTTTATTAACTCTTCTGCAAATGTTATTAGAGACTCTTGGGCTGCCACAGAAAATTTCTTAAATTTTTTTCCCTTGTGAAAAATTCAACATACTGTCTTATATGCCTTCATCGCCACTGATCTGAATTAGTAACTTTGTTAATCTTTATTTTTTCAGATTGGTTTGGATGGAATTCGTATGCTGGATCCAAATACCAGCCGGACATTGAGAATATATCCACTTGAAAACATAACAAGATGCGATGTGAGCATTTTGATATCCTTCGTGAAACTTCACTATATTTAAGAAATTAATTTTCCTAGTCAATCTCAATATAGTATTTTGTTAACTGAATTATGCAGAGATTCGACTCGTCTACCTTTGCATTTTGGTCAAAGAGTCCTGTGGACATTGAGCCAAGACGAATCAGATTGCAATCTAATAGTTACACTACTAGCACACTCTTGGATACAGTGACTGCTGCAACCATACAGGTATTCAGAGAATTTCAACCTTCTTTTATGATAGTAGATAGTTCATATTTTTCTGATAAATTAGGTTACAGCATGTTTATTTTAAAAAATATCTGCTGGAAGACACCACTTTTTTGCTTTTTTAAGGTTACCTAGGGACAGGATTTAGTTTTAGTTGCTTGCCTTGTTTGTGAGTTGCTTTGTGATAGATAACCACACTAGAAGTAAAGCAAAAAGGAGAACAAACTCAATAATATCTCCTCTACTCTATCGATTTTAGGGAAAATACCAGTAATAGTGGGGATGAAAGTGCAAGATAGATGAACAAGAACAGAAAAATACAGATAGCTCAGCCAGTTTGAAGAGTGCCTGATTCTCTCTCTTCCTAAACGTTATTCACACTTTCTATGCTCCTTGCATTCTCTTCTCTCTATATACCCGTCTGATCTATAACCGAATTCCTTTTACCCACTCAGCACCTCTTGTCATGTAGGCTGCTAATTAGCTGAAGTCACAAGTCCCATGCTGTCTTTGGGATCCCCTGTTTCTCGAACCTTATTCCTGATAAAATACACCTTAGATTGTACGCAATCTTACTATTGCATAATTGCGAAGATGCTATTTCTCGGATTCGAATCTGTGACCTTTCAGCCACATAGGAACAACTTTACCACTGTTATAGGCTCACCTTCTTTACTCATCACCATTGGATATGGTTTGTTATACTGGTTGTTACATATTTGCCTCAACTTATTCTCTCCAATTGGCCTCATGAAATCAGAATGCATGCTTGGGCCTGTGAATTGTCAACAAACATCGGGTAGGAAAAATTCAAATAATTTAGGGTCTTAGTGCCATTTTATGCGTACCCTTTTTGACTGGCTTCCAATTTACCTTTTGTTGTTGATAAATGGCCTTCTAATCATGAATTCATGATTTTGGCTGTTGACACTCGCAAATTAAAATTTGTATCTAAAGTCCTCAAGAACCAGCTAGTATAGTAAATGCAAAACTTCAACATCTTTAAGTTATTACCATATCAATCCTGACGTCTAGGAGTTAAATACAAGAATATCTACGCAAAAAATGGAATATAAAGTTTAATCACATTAGTTAATATTCCCTCAAAGCTGTGAAATAGTTTCTACCATGTCTCTCGCAACAATATAAATGTTTTACTCTTCTATTGACATTATTCCTGGCTAGTTCTTAATTTATTTTATACACATCATAAAGGCTTTCTAGTTAAATAGCTTGTAGTCTTTCTTTTTTCCAGGCTTCTTTTCCTATTTATAAAGTTCTATGTTTTCGGTTTTGGAAATTGTTTATTATATATGTCTTAATTTCCCCTCGCTTTCTTAATGCAGTTCAAGGAAATGGGTGGAAGCAGGAGGTCTGTTGAATCATTGAAAACAAATGAACAGCCTACAGAAAGAAAGAAAGGCTTTGGCGATTGGATGAATCTGATTAAACCTGCCAATGAAGAGAAGGATCATTGGGTAACATTAGCTGCAACTTCTAATTTCTTGCTCGTGTTGTCCTCCCCTTCCCTCACTTCCCCCCAAAAAAGGATCCTAAGGTTTTATTAGCAGAAATGTTTTCTTTTGAACCATTTTCATTTTTTCTAGGATGCAGTGTTCTCATCTGCTGGTAGCTGATTGTGATTGTGGAAACATGTGTTATTGCAATTAATTTTCAATATGCTAGTGTATTTTTCCTTCTTTAATTAACTCTTGGAGAATTTCTAAGTGGCACTTGATTTTAATGAAAATGTATTGATCAACTATATTAACCTACTTCAGTTTAACTAGGATCCTTGTTCCTTGTTTCTTGTACATAATTGGAGTTCTTACCAGGTTCTATTTGTACATAGGTCCCAGATGAAGCAGTCTCTAAATGTACAGCATGTGGCAGTGATTTTGGGCCTTTTGTTCGCAGGGTTGATCTCCTTATTTTCTTTCTCAAGCTATACTTTCTATTTTTTGTGCTCTGTTGCTAATGTCATGATCCTCTATTCTCGTAACAGCATCACTGTAGGAACTGTGGCGATATTTTCTGTGACAAATGTACACATGGTAGAATTGCTCTAACTGCTGATGAGAATGCTCAGCCAGTACGAGTTTGTGACCGTTGCCTGGTATGTGTAACAATTGTTGGCTTTTCTCTTATTCACTTTGGAGAAAGGAAAATGGGGATAGTTATTTGGAACATGCATTTGCTTATGTAATTACTGATGTTGTAATGCTATTAAATGGATTTTAAATGGGATGTCCATGTAGGGATCCCCCCCCCCTCTTTTCCTTTCCTTCTGTTACTCTCTCTTTACTTGTCAATTGAATTAAGGCTTTACTGTTTACTTTCTTTTTGTCAATTAAAGTAGTGTATCATCGTTAAAAACTGTAGAAGCCATGCTAAGTTTCTTATGGTCACATTTTTGTATAGGCAGAAGTGACTCAGAGGCTGACTAATGCTAAAGAGTCATCAAGTAAACCTTTGTTGCAGAGTCATGAGGATCTTGCCAGGAAACTTCAGGTAATTAATAGAGGCATGTGGTACTATTTTTTTCTATGCTTACCTTACTAGTGTAAGCGTGTATCAGATGCTGATTTGTTTTGTCGGTGAATATATTGGCAGGAGGAGCTGGAGAGAAATCGAAAGACATCAGGTAATGTAATCTGAGTAATAAAATTGCTTTAGAGTTTTTCATTCATAAATTTTCAAAGGTGTTGGCAGGTTTCAAGTAAATCTTCTGTGTGGGTGATTTAGTTGAAATGTATGGATTTTTTATTTATTTATTAAGATTTGTAAATTAATCTGCGGCTCAGTTAATTTGTCTGGTTTATAGGTTCCAAGTCTGATGGATCTGGAAGACGGATGAAGGAAGTTGCATGTCCCATTTGCACTGTCCATCTGCAGGTTTGAATATAAATGTCCCCGCTGCTCTCCCTCATATATATTTACATCATCATCATCATCTTCTTGTTCATTTGAGGTTTTGTGGGATTGTCCAGGTTCAGGTGCCTAGCTCAGGTTCGGAAACCATTGAGTGTGGAGTTTGCCAGCACCCATTTCTTGTGAGTGCTCATTGAGTTCAGATAACAATGATACGGATGAAGGTGTCTATACGTCTCAGTTTAAAATTCAATTATTTTACGATCTTTCTCTTGCACATTACTAATTAATGATTGGGATTTCCTTCTGTTTATTATCTTTGGGTTTGTTTTATGACCATTTTCGTCTGCATTTATCTCCCATTTCTCCTTTGAGCTTGATGTGTATATGATAGTTGTTCACTTATCTTTTAATCTTTTTGGAAAGGTTTTCCAATTCGATTCTCTTTTGTATAAAATATACGCTGTACACATGTATAGCTATGCGAAGTTCATTCTGGTTTGAGACGATTTGATAGCATATTAGCTCTGTAAATATCTTCGAAAAATGTCAGGAAAAAGAAAAAAAGAAAAAATAATTGTCCATACGATTAGCGGTTAGATCAAATTATTTCATGTTGCTGAATGGGGAGCACAGTAGATTTAAAATCGAGAGATTTTTGTGAGAGAAATTCAAGGTGTGAATCCTGTGAAGTCGTGGTAGGTATGGGAGAGGAGAATGTAGGTCACTGATATTTCAAATCCAATGTTACTCGCGGGGGATTCATCTCTCGTTACTGGAGATAGTACCCGTTCTAGGATGACTAGTCTTCTAATATATGATAATAATTTTTTAAATACTTGACCTTTTTTATGGGAATTCTTTTGAATGATTTTAACTGTACACAGACTAGTTGAATATAAACAAGCAATTCGGTGTTGATATTGTATTTATTATGATCCATGGAGCTTGATTACTATGACTCTACAAACTGCAACTTTTGGGAAGGGTATTTTCTAATACTATATTATGCTTGTTGCTTCAAAGTATATCTTCTAAGTAACTGGCCGATTCAGAATTGCTGCTAGCTAGATCCAAATATTAGCACAAAATGTTACCCGTCATAGATCTTTCCCAAATTTTATCTTCCATAGTTAAAGTTTTTGTGGATTAAAATTCAATAAATTAAATATTAAGGGTAAAATATGAAAATTAAGAACCCTGTTATTACCGGTGATTTGGAAGTGGCAGTAGCAAGAAGTCGCCAACCACCACCTCTATAGGTAGTTTTGTGAAGCCGCCATTTCCTCCACACGTTACTTCAACTTGTAGTTTCACTGCTCCGTCTAATGTAAAGTTGTTTCGTGATGAAACTTCCGTCAAATGTTTCGGTTCTTGCAGTGTTTGCATTTGGAGTTTCGATCAAATGTTTCCGTCAAAAAAAGGCTTGCAAAAAATTATGGTAATTTGCGCTTAACCAGCCAAAACACAAGCACAAAGATTACTTAAATGATAATGTCAATTATGTAAATGATAAAAAAATTATTGTAAACAGTCAAATTCAAATTAAAGAGGAGCCGAATTCCATTATTTTAAATAATTATAATTGTATTGTGTAGTTTTTTTTTTTTTTTTTGGGTTGTAGTAAATGGCTTCAAGCCAACATAAAAAAAAAACCCTCGGGATTGGTAGAGACCTTTTTTTTAATGAGTTTGTAGAGATATTTTTAGGTGGTTTTGGAGAAAGAATTTTTTCTTGAGTATGTAGCACATTAGTTATAATAAAAATATAAATAAATTAAGAAACACTAATTGCTAACATGATTGAAGTGACTGACATTTGAAAATATAAAAACAAAATATTTGTACCCAATATTAATAATTCAGTTGGTGCAATGGAGCTGAGTGGGTAGATAAAGATTTTGGTTCGATTTTCACCAATGCTATATTGGGGAGGGGTATGAGACCTTAATCCTCCACTCGCTTCGCACTCGTGATTAGTCTCGTAGTCAGTTCAAAGAGTCGAAGCTTGTGAAAATATTCAAAAAAATATACTTGCCTCAAAAAGATAATTAGGATTGGTATAAAAAATATATATTTGTGTGATGCATTATTATCATTAAATTGATTTCGAAATTAAACTAGTCTTGTCATCATTTGTTATTATTCTTAAACAGACTTCCTATCCATAAATGAAGAAAATCAAGCGACTTTCACTTTCTTTCTTATTATTGTTATTGTTCAATTTTTTTTTTGGCAGCCAGTGTTATTGTTCATTTAAACATGTGTTTTCTTTTCTTTTTAAATATTAATAGGTTGACTCAAAATCGAATACCAGCCTAAAATAGTCAATACATATTTTAAAAACTCTAATTTGTACGAAAAAAATCTTTCGTTTTTTCAAAAGATGTATGAAATTTAATTTCAATTATAAATTATTGGCGTGTATTTCATATATTTTAACACAATCTCCGTTTTTAAAAAATCAATACATAAATTTGGTTTTCAAAATTTTATATTATTATAAAATTTTTATATCAGTTACTAGAGTAAAGACCCAAATTGGTCTATGACAAAAAATTCGGTGTCCAAATTAGTCCCTCACAAAAATAAACTCGTTAAATAGTCCTCAACAAAGTGAAACAGGACCCACGTTAGTCCTTCTGTCAATCCAAAACTGACGGTGTCAATGACGGTGATGACGTGTCACGTTAAGTGACATGCTGGAGGCCACGTGGGTTGAGGAACGACGTCGTTTTGAGAGACTCATCCACGTTGGTCAGTATGGTCCCTAACAGTTTTAACAAAGGGGACCAGTATGGTCCCTAACATTTTTATCGGGGTCCTTTTTAGTCCCTGCTAAAGTTCTGTTAACACCAGTGCTACCATTTGCTATTAACACACCAGTAGTGACATTTCCCCTTGTACATGCTGATATTAGTCATGCATAACACAATCAACTTCTGCATAATTCACACCATGACATTCTTAGTTTAGTTTTTATACATTATTTCCATTCCTTTTTTTATATTCATCGAGTTTATACAACATTTTGTACCAATAAACATAACTTCAAATACATAAGCCATGCTACATACATTGCATAAATAACAATTCATTACACCAACAAATCTCAACAAAACCACATTTTAAATTTCACTCCAGCCTACTTGCAAGATATATACATACTAGAAACACAACAATAATGGATCCAGCAAACACCCTAGCACACCTACACACATGCATCATTTCCTTCTCAACCCTTTCAAAGTTTGCCTGCATCTTCAATGATATGTCTTCAATCTTTATACAGTGCTCATGAAAAAATAACAATTGAAAAAACCCTAGCACACCTACACACATGCATCATTTCCTTCTCAACCCTCTCATGTGGCTTCATGATTGAGTTGTATTTGAAGTGCACACTTATTTAAAGCAGCTAACTTTGGACTTAATTGCATGCAATACGTCATGCATTGCAGAGAATGTAGACAAATATGAGTTTGCTATGATAATCTGAGGAAGTAAGAATGAATCAAAAAACTCTTTAGCACATTATAAAATGGCAACAACCAATGCATAAGTTTCTTTTTTATTGTTATGTCAAGTTGTACCGTTGCTTACTTAGATGGATATCTCCACCAACCATTGTTATGTCTTTATCTTTTTGTTATTTTGTTTACCCTCTCAAAAAGATAAATATTTATGCTACTGTTTACAACTAATAACAGGGTAAATCAAATATAATGCTACATGATAATAACATGATATTCCTACACGCACAGTTATATAGTCTTATTTCTTAATTTTTTTCTCTCATCTCTTTTCTCTCTTCTCAATTGTATATGTAAAAATATCATGTTACATCATGTAACATGATAATGTAACATGATATTTCATTTACCCAATAATAAGGGTGTTACTTTTTTTATGTTACAACGGATAAAAATCCTCTCATACACGATAAAATACAATGTGAATTCCACTTTGTGTTTTTCTCTCTCCTCTATGTAGTGGAATCCATATTATATTTTGTGTGTCCACGAGAATATTTCTCTCCCATGTAGCAACAACAATAGTCTATCTGTTTAGTCATATAGGCTTTTCAGTTGCAGTCTTGATATAAGTTCAAGTTTATGATAAACTCTATGCAAGTGGGAACGAAAAATATTATGGCCAGTGGCCACCAATACAGGTCTCATGTGATAAATATGAACACGCATTAACATATTCTTCGTGTATGAATGGTTTCTTTAATAAAATAGAGTAACAATTAACAAAATAATGTCACAGACTCACAGCTTGACTATGAAGCCTTGAAGATATTAACTAAATAGTAGCAACCATTCATACATAAAAATATAACTAAACATTGACACAACATTAGAGAAAATAAAGTTATTGTTTTTTTTACGAGGTTTTTCATGTAATCGTATACGTAAGTTTTTATATAAAAATATATTTAGTAGTTTAGGGATGTAGTCTCTTTAGCACTGTCATTAATTTATCTTCACTTCTATCTTTATTGAGAATACATTAAAATCTCATGTAAATTGTAATGCCCTCTCCTTCACCACTATCTGGCACATAAAATTCACTATCTTGACTAATTGAAGTGGCAAGATTGCTTTTAGTTTCTATGTATGTTCAGATTTTTCTTGCAAGAAAATTTAAATGTTCCGTAGAGGTGACAGACTATTGATTATTTGACAGACTATCAACCCTTGCATGTGGACTTTGAAAAGGTTGAGAAGGAAATGATGCATGTGTGTAGGTGTGCTAGGGTTTTTTCAATCGTTATTTTTTCATGAGCACTGTATAAAGATTGAAGACATATCATTGAAGATGCAGGCAGCCTTTGAAAGGGTTGAGAAGGAAATGATGCATGTGTGTAGGTGTGCTAGGGTGTTTGCTGGATCCATTATTGTTGTGTTTTTAGTATGTATATATCTTGCAAGTAGGCTGGAGTGAAATTTAAAATGTAGTTCTGTTGAGATTTGCCGGTGTAATGAATTGTTGTTTATGCAATGTATGTAGCATGGCTTATGTATTTGAAGTTATGTTTATTGGCACAAAATGTTGTATAAACTCGATGGAGATAAAAAAAGGAATGAAAATAATGTATAAAGACTAAACTAAGAATGTCATGGTGTGAATTATGCAGAAGTTGATTGTGTTATGCATGACTAATATCAGCATGTACAAGGAGAAATGCCATTACTGGTGTGTTAATAGCAAATGGTGGCACTGGTGTTAATAGAACTTTAGCAGGGACTAAAAAGTACCTCGATAAAAATGTTAGGGTCCATACTGGTCCCCTTTCTTAAAACTGTTAGGGACCATACTAACCAACGTGGATGAGTCTCTCAAAACGACGTCGTTCCTCAACCCACGTGGCCTCCAACATGTCACTTAACGTGACACGTCATCACCGTCATTGACACCGTCAGTTTTGAATTGACAGAAGGACTAATGTGGATCCTGTTTCACTTTGTTGGGGAC